CCTACATTCAGAGTTCATGAGCTGTGATGATAAAAATCTACATATGTAACACCCTCACCAACCTCTTTCATATCACTGCCATGGAATTTGAAGCCTAGGGGAGACTTTAGGAACAGGAAGCTCAGGCTGCCTGGTGCAGTGAGTAATACAGACCTTTGTCTCTCAGCCAGGAGTGTCCTGTCTTTGATCTGCATTTTTTAGACCTACTACTTGTGGCCTGCTAATTTGTTAGCTTGTAAAGTGAGTAAAATCTCTGACCTTGAACAAACCTTTATAATGTCGTGGAAAAATGTTTCACACCTTTAAGTAACAAAAATATCCAATGCTATTTAACACAGAAGGGAGACTTTCTATTTAATTATAAAATCTGAGGTAAATCTCTGATACCAATATCTTTAATGAGGTACAAAGTAGAATAATAACAGATAATAGACATTCCAAATTAAAGGATTACAAATTGAATCCAATAAAGTATTAAAATGTTAATAAGCCATAACCATTTAAGGCATATTTAAGACTGAAGCTTGATATTTGGAAACTCAAGATATAATTAATTTATTGACCCAAAGAGAAAAAGTCATGTATTTTTTATGTTACTCTGCAGCGCAGGAAGGCACTGCAAAAGTGGTAAATGAAGGTGGTCTGAAGAAATCATAGAATTTAAGTTGTTTTCAAAGAAGAAATACTTATATATAGAAAAACTGAAGTGGATCATAGTCAAAATATTGCAATTGATTTCTTGTAGATTGTTAAAAAATAAAAGTTTGGGATGGTGGTTGGTTACAACAAATAAAGCATCTTTTGAAATTTTATACAGACAGTGCCTTAATATTTTATTAGCAGTAATTCTGGATGAGAGCAGAAAGGAGTGACAAAGTATGAGAGAGATGCAAAAAGAAGAGAAATCTCTCACTTAAAGAATAGATTCAAGCCGGGTGTGGAAATCCCAGCACTCAAGAAGCTGAGGCAGGAGGATCTCTGTGAGTGCAAGACCAGCCTGGGCTACATAGTGAGTTCCAGGTCAGTCTACAGAGTGAGACCCTGTCTCAAAAAAAGCCAAAAAAAAAAAAAAAAGGAATAGATTCAAAATCTATTAAATTTATATTTAAGAAACATCCATTCGATTGGTGTGTCCCTCCTCTCTATATTGGTGTTATTTTGTCCTGATTTTTTAGTACTTATGGTCATTGTAGCACTGGGTTTGTGACAAAACATGAGGCATTTCCTAATACAAAATTTGCAATCTTTCTACTTTTCCTAAAATAAAAATATTCATTTCTCAAAAAGCTATAGATTTCAACAAGATACTGTGAAAAAGCAGTATGGTGTGTCTAACTCATATTATTACATGTGATTAATTGATCCATAATCATATCAGAAGCACTTTTAAAGAAATATTAATTATGTAAACTGCATTCTTAATTTTTCAGATTTTCATGATACAGTGAAATAGTTTTGATGGTATGAAGGTTATCATGAAGGAAAATTATTCATGCTTAGAAAATTCATTGTTCAGTTCCTCTGCTCCCAAGTTTATTACATATTCATTTCCTATTATTGAGACCATGGGATATGTAGTGCTTCTTTCTCTCATAATAACCCCTGTTTCAGGACAGTGCACAGGGCCAGTACTGATCGCTTGTTATTTGAGTATTGTCAGTACATTCACGTCTGTCTTCAAATTTTTTAACTTTCTGCCAATGTACTTTTTAAATTGAGGTTAGTTTGGGAACCCAACACTGAGTGCCTTGAGCATAGTAATGTATAGAAATATAGAAAGGTTCAGAGGCCAATAGGTAATAATTTTAAAATTTATCTTAGGGATTAAATGTGTTCCTGATATTTTACTATTTCGAGACCTGGTTATCCAACGAGTAAGTGAGTCATTCACCTTGTATTAAACTAAGAATTTCCTATGTGAAAGGGTCAAACAATGGTTTAATAGTCAAATGTGGTTACAGTCAGGATAAGAGATATTCCCTGAGAGAAGGGAATGAAAAGCAAAATAAAAACTAGTAAACTCTAGAATATATTGGGAAGTTGTCTCTGCTAGAATTTGATGTGCAAATTGTTATTCCAGAATCGTTCCTCATGCTCCCTGCAGATAACCTTAATTATAGAGAAGAGTTTCTCTACAAAAAACTGTACACACACTAAACAAAATGCAAAGAGAGGTGTTGACATAGAAAGACAGTAAGCCTTTTGATACAACCCAAAACGGACTGAAACACTGTACACTCTAGTTTTGCGTGGATCTTTACAAAAGCAAGGGAATCATGATGAATGTGCTGTACTGAAACTTTAATCTTAAGCTGTTGCATCTACAGTTTACAGTAAATTACTAAATGTACAGTAAATAAGTAAAAATGCCATGACCCAAAAATCTCCCATGGAAATGTACATGATAGTAAATTGTTGGCTAAAGAGAGATTGAATTTAACTCCAGAATCATAGCAAATTATATCTGAAGTTAATGCATATTTTTAAATTATATCATTAGTTCTTTGTATTTATAATCGTGGTATTTTCTTACTTCCTCTATTAATTCTATAGTGGCTTTTATAGTCTTTTAGTAAACAATCTTTATAGATTATCCATAATTGTGAGCAATTCTTTTGGCCAGAGGGGACAATCCAGATTAACATTTATTACACCACATTTATAATGATACCTTTGTAAGACTTTTTTCTTTCCAGGAATGTTTTACATTATATACAAATTTGCAAATTTAACACATCAATTTCTAAACAGGGTAGAGACTATTTACTGTAAAAGAACCATATTTTCTTTCTATTAACACCAGTTACTGATAATAATCATACACAAATAACACATTAATCATAAGTCTAATGGTCACTAAACCTAACATGTTTTGGTAACATTAGGTGAATGCATAACAAAAATCTAGCCGATAAACCAGTAAGGGATAACTTCATGTAAATTTTAGGTTATTTGACAAGCATTATTGAGATACACGTTTCATAGTATTTTTAATTGCTAGAAAGCAAGAGGCAGGTTAACTATTTCACTAGAGGGCAGGAAGGCAAATTTCTCACATATTATAATAGAAAGAGAAAGAGTAAGTAAGAAAGAAATTCAGATTCTGTACTGAGCCTGAACATTCACTATAGTCTGGATCAGTAGGGAAAGTATCTTCAAATGCTCCTGACTCTGTTATCATGCAAAGGCGCACAGAAGTTATCAAAATTAGCACCCATTCATCCATTCACCCAAGAAGTTATTTATTGCGTGCTTCACCTGTGCAGACATAGTTCTGAGCTTTTGGCATAGAGAAAAGAATGTGACAGTTAATTCCTTGCCCTCATAGCGAAGTCGTTATTTTACCAGGAACCAGCAGACAATAAGGAAGAGCAAATGAGTGAACAAAGCCAGTTCGTACAGCGCTCAGAACTAAACCACGAGACCATGTGATGCTTCGACGGGGCTGTGGGTAGATACACTTGGAAACACGAAGGCAAGGGCTAGCGTTTCCACAAAAAGAAATGGTAATTTTAATTATCTAGAAGCTGGTTACCCGAGATTTTCTTTTTATCTATCTCCTGCTGACCATATTTTGCCGTTTCACTAATTATTGTTCAACTAAAGCGCTAAAATGCCAGTCAGTAAATGATTATTGAGATCCCACTGTGTTCTCGGCACCAGTACTATTGGAAAACGTGGATGAATTTAAATCACTAATTCTACTGCTGCGAAAAAACATGAGGTGAAGACTGACACTCATGCCAGTAAATAACTTATGTCTTCTTGTGTGAGCGGTGCTTTTCAGACAAAATTTCCCCAATCCGTCCACACCTCACATTCCTGAGAGCTTCTGGCTCCCGGAGTCCCTCCTCAAAACGCATCGTTCGTTGCCACTAGATGGCACCAATTATTTTCATATTTTTAGCCAAATTTTTTTTGTATGTAATAACCACATTTAAAAGAGAAAAATGCGACTCAGCACCACTACTAATAAAAATTAATAGTTTTAATTACGAGAATAGTAATAGCATCAGTATTAATATTGTTCCTTTATCAATGACTTTATTATAGAATTTACTATCGCAATAGCACTATATATGGTACTTTCATTTTCCCACATCCTTGTTTATTTAATATACATTTGTTTCGAATAATTGTTAAAATTTACTAACAGTGCTTTTGAATTTGTAAAAAGATTAGAAATGCATATGTGCTATAATTGAATATGCATTAGTTTCATGTACAAACATCAGAATTAAAATAGCTGATTATAATCCATATATGGTAACAATTTTTGTAGAAAATAATTTAAATAAATTAAAGGAGAATTCTTCATTTTTAAGGAAAAATTCCCAAAATATATTTCTAAAATAATATTTCTAAAATGTTAAAAAGAAACTGTAGTAGTCCTTCATTACAATTAAATGTGACAAACCATTGCAAAATGTAAAATTGGATCAGAACCTTTGAACTAAATGTATGTCATTTGTATTCTATATAAAACATTTTATATAGACCTTAATGAAATTTGATTACTAAAAATTCAGATGTAAAAGATATAATTTATCACATGATTTCCCTGTTTTAAAAAGTAAATACACAATATCATTAAAATATTATGCAAATTTTTAATAAAACAAAAGACTATGAAATACTCTGGTTTCTCGCAAGGATGGATGACAAACATCCAATGTATATTTACTCAGAAGCAAAACAGAGCCATCCTCAAATTTCCATTAAAAACATAAAAATAGTACTAGAATAAATACAGTGTACACAGTAGTAAAATGAGAGTCTTCATAAAATGCTTTGCAAAGTACAATATGCTTAATGAATATATTATAATTACTTAGAATAAAATCAAAGTACTATATATTATGCTAACAAATCCTCAAATATTTCAAAAAGCTATATACATTCTTGCTATTTCAACATTAAAAATGAGTGCCTCCAACATGATGCTAATTTGACTATCATCGTATTTGTCTCCTACTAAAACAGTCAAAAAGGATACTTACTTTGATATCTGCCAGGGCTTTTCGCCTCTTAGCAAGAAGTGTTCGAAATTCCTGATCTTCTTGAAAGATTCTCTCTTCACAGGCTCTTTTCTCTTCCACGAGATGATCAAACACAGCTTGTGCATGTTCTTTTTTATATCTCATAGTTATAAATACATCTCTATGAAGAAAGAATTTTGGGTGACACTAATGAATTCATTTTATTTTCTGAAATATGCTCATGATAGTTTTAAAACAACAGTATTGAAAAATCTTAGAACTGAAAGACCTTAGAAATAATTCTACTTCCTTCCAAAGGCCTATGTTCTCTTTGCATATGTGTATGTGTGTGTTTTTTCTTATTTAGAATTAATTACATCTGTCTATGGAGGTAAAATAACATTTATAGTGAACTCAACAGAAAAACTAAAAGTGTAAATAAGATCCAAATTGTATAACTGACCATGTGAAATAGGAAGAAAAGGGCTAAAGGTGTAGGGGAAGTGGAAAGGGTAGGGGAAAGGAAAGAAGGGAAAAGAAAAAAATATGAGAAAAGGAAAAAATGGAAACAAAAATCTTTGTAAATGGGGGGGTGAAGAGAGGTCAGGGGTATGGGGAAAAAAGGAGAACCAAGATCTGTCATGTAAAGGTACGAGATCCTAATGATGAATGTAACTGTACTGCATACCTAAAATGCACCAATAAACTCAATAAAAAGACAAATAATTACATAGGAACAATACTAGTAGAAAAAACGTCAGAAGATGGTTAAGACAATACAGGCAACAAATGTGCTAAGGAAATAATTGCAATTTAAGGAACAATGCACGATGTAGAAATAGCATAGCTGTAAAAGTTCAGCACAGCCTTGATGCTGCCCACCTTAGTTGGTATCTCTACTAATAGGAGAAAATTAAATCACTTACATGGTTAGCTATAAAGGCAGCAAGACTCACTTTTTGGAAGGGCTAAAATGTTAAAGTGTTTTTATAATATCCAAAATCTATGAAGTAATAATTTTAGTAATTGTAGCATAGTTAGTGTAACCTCAAGGAGATAGTAAATGACAGAACCAGAATCCAAATCCAGTCTGTCTTTGATGCAGCAGTTCAACAGTGAGTACTCAGGTACTTCAATCTCTTCATCATGGTTGTTATTACCAGACTTTCTTCATTTTATTTATTTAGGTACTGGGGATCGAACTCCAGTCCTTGCGCTTGTGAGGCAGGTGCCTGAACCTCTGAGCTAAACCCCTGGCTCTTTATTTTATTTTTTGAGATGTCTTGCTATGCAGTTGAGGGCGGCCTTGAGCTCACTGTGAAGTACAGGCTGACCTGGCAGTCACCAGGATAATCCGTCCCCAGCCTCTCCACTGTTGAGATTCTAGTGTTTTCTGCTGCACCCGGCTCTGTTTCAGGATTCTGTAATCCACTTCTTGTTTACATTTAACGCATATGGGCATCTGTACATAGCACCCTTGGGACCCAATGAACTTTCAAAGGTCCCACCTCTGAGCCCAAGAGGCTTTAGGGAAGCCAATCTCTACTTAAACCATAGCACATTTCCCAGTTATTACTAAAAGAATAAACACAGGGCAGCTATGAAAAGTAGAACTGTATATGTAATTAGGCTTGTAGAAGCAAAAACTGATTTATACATGTACATTCCATATACATTTCTTTGTTTTGTTTTTTGTTGTTGTTGCTTTTTTTGTTTTGTTTTGTTTGTTTGTTTGTTTTGTTTTGTTTTTTGAGACAGGGTCTCACTATGTAGTTGAGACTGATCTGGAACTCACTGTGTAGCCCAGGCTGGTCTCGAACTCACAGTGATCCTTCTGCCTCAGCCTCCCAAGTGCTGGGATTACAGGAGTGCCCCACCATACCCAGCCCACATACAATTCTGATGGAAAATATGGATCATTTTAAGAATGAAATTTTTAAATGTGGAAATTTGATTTCATTTTCTTTACCAATAATATTTTACATATAATTAATATTTTCATAAAACAAGTACTTACGTCAAATTTTCAAGTTTCTGATCAAAAGCTACCTTTTCCTCTTCCTTTCCTTCTAATTGCTGATTCATTTCATTTATTTTTGCATTATAAGTTACTGTTTTAATTTTAGTAGACTCCAATTCTTCAAAAATTATTGAGCGTTTACTCTAAAAAATATTCAGGGATGTTTTATTATAAACACTTGGATTTTCAAATCTTTGCATTTTAGTGACACAATTATATCGACTGTATGATTGATTAAAGGCAGATGGTAACCTCTTATTAATATGAATAACTTAGGTTTATGTTGTCTAAAAGATGGGTGAAACTATTTTGTCTTCTGTCTTCCACTCTAGTCTACATAAACTTATCCCTTCTACACACACACACACACATACACACACACACCACACATGCACGCACTCACACACACCCCCATACACGTGTGAGGACATGCACACCTTCCAAATACATTGTTTCAAGATGCAAACGTGGCCACTGGTTTCCAAATATGTACCACGTATGTTGGCAGGTGACCGAGACAATCTTTCCAACAAAAGAATGTGGTATTTATGATGAGCACAATTTCTCACAATGGATCTGTGTAAATTCAAGTTGACACTGTGATTTTGCAACCATTTGTGTGATCCCTTCCTTACTCATGATGTTGATACTGACTGGCTGACTGGCTGGCTGGCTGGCTGGCTGATCTAAGGACTTCTTGAATATTTTAACCAGATCTATGTTTGCTTCTTATTACTGTAATTTTCCCAACTGGCCGAACAAATCGCAATTACTCTCTTTGATCCTCTTTATGTTTCCTAATCTTTCTCTACACACAGATTTCCATAAGAATGCCTAATCTTTTGTTATTTATTCTCTAAAAATGTGCTGTCTGTCTAAGACAGGAATACACTGAGCACTATATTTTAATTGTTATTTTCATCTTGTTCTTTTCCCCTGGAAGACCTGGAATTTTTCCAGTAATAAATGAGAGGTGTTTTTTTCTCTTATGCTAAACTGTAAGGGAAAGATTGCTAGATCTAATTCTGTAATTGTCCCCGTGGGGTGTTGCGTTATCGCTTGTAGGGTGGGTCACTGTAAAGAGACTGGGCAGAGAGCACACACACAGATTAAAGCATTCAGAGTCAAGATGTGGGCAACTCTGTGTACCACATATTATCACCGCAGAACTTGACTTTTAGGTCCCATTCCAGGATTCGCTCTTAAATCTGAAATAAGAATTATCACGGAAAACTACAAAGACCTCAGAACAGTTACGTCCGTTAACAGCTTGCACGCGACAGCCATTTTAGCAAGGGTGGACGCACCAGTAGATCCTACAATGAAAGGGATGAAGGAGGCAGTGAGCCATTAGTGAAAATCGAAAAAATGCATTTGTGCACCTTTAATAGACAGCACGAGCAGCACGCTGGAGTGGATGGACAGCATGTCTGCTTTCATGGCACCAAAAGTATCACAACTGTTCCCACAGTAGGCTGGGTGTGGAGAGAGGAAACGGGTGATGACACATGTCGTCAACAACACGAGCCTACACATCCTGAGTGGCAAACGCTTGGAAACTGGCATAGCTATTTGGACTTCTTTGCCAAGGGCTGAAGCCACCACCAGAGAGTAGTCAGAGCAGAGCCATAAAAGCAGTGCCTCTGTGAGCTGACTGTTCTGTGGGATGATTCTTTCCCTTCTGGAGGAAGACTTTGGTATCAGGCTTTCCACCAACAGTTAGGCCTGGAAGTTTCTCTAAGTAGGAAATATAGTTAATATTTTACCATTTAATGTTATTTATGACTGTATTGTCCAAAAACTTATTTAAAATATTGGACAATAAAATTATATTCAGACTCTAAAATGTCGCAGATTATATTAAATTATATTAAATGTTTGATTTAATAAATACATGTTTATGTCATCTTAATAGAATAAGTTCTGATTCTACATCTAAATTTTAAATTGAGGTTAAACCTAATAAAAATTCAGTAAGGCTGGTTAGCTTGACTCGTGAATGCAAGTCTTAGAGTGAAAAATAGAATTATTTGTCTCAAAACTTAAGTTTTGAAAAGACATAAATGGTGTCCATAGCACTGTTTGTATATAAATAGGCACAATTAGTACTTAACAAATGCTGATCAATGTTGGCTAACACTGCAACAGGTTGAGTTTCCTTCAGATAGAGTTCAGGAGCAGGGCGCATTACTCTCGATGTGTCCATACTGAAACACCTGCAGTTCCCCAAGGTGTAGCATTCTCCCATGCTCTCTGCTTTGCAAATGTAGCATTTGTTTCTAAACCATTAAATGTGAATGTGAAAAATGAAGTTAAAATTATAATAATAATAATGCTGATGATAATTATGGAGACCATTCAGCACTTCAGTGCCCGTACTCCTTTAAGTTTTTCATGCGTATTATTTCTGTTTTGAACACTCTCACGGCAAGACAAGTCTTCAACCTCCCTTTCTCCAACAGCTCTGCCCATGACCTCCTGTGCCCCAGTCTTCCCTACCCCACCCTGTGATTCTCGTCCATTGCCGCACTGCCCTCATGGTTGTGTTCCCACGTTCACATGTGTCAATGCGTCTCTTTCCTTGCCTGTTCCATCTGTGGGCTACTAAGAATGTTGACTCTGCCTATTAACTTTGGGTTCCACCCCCATCTTTACTGGCAAAAGCGAGTTTTGCCTTTGTCGGCCTGATCTGTTACAGTATTCCAGCTACACAGCTTCGGGAAGAGATAGCTAGACGTGAGCCAAAGAACAAGGGTGACCTTCAGAAGCTGATGACAACTGTTTTGTGCCTGAGGGGAAGGGAGAAGAGGTATGGAGGACAAGTTTGGCTTGGGGCTGATGGGGCACCAGTGCAATTCAGGCCACAGTGTACTTCATGAAATGGAAATAAAAATCTTTCAAAAGTATAGTTTGGTCCTTGAGCTGTGCTTCTTAGCAAGGTATATTTTGTGTGAGGTGCAGCTCCAATAGGGCATCAAGTAATTTAAAATTTAACGGAAGATGTTTCCTGAGAACCAATCGTACTAGAAATTGGCTTAAAATGTAAAGAATTGTGTACTTTTTAAATTATTTTTTCCTCTTTTTGAATATTAACATATATAATTAAACCATGATATAATTTTAATTTTAAATTAGACATTTTACATTACTGATTCAAAGCAGTTATCTGAAAATGTTTGCTGGATTATAAGCATATTTGTGTCAAATGTAATCTTTGGTAGATACCGAGTTAAACAATATTTATGGCAAAGATTCCATAAAAAAAGATTCCAACCATCAATTAAAAAGGATCATCACGTTACTTCCATTAAGTTTAAATGCTACTTCATTTTCTCCTTTCCTTTCTTCTCATTTTCCTTCTTTCCTCTTTCCATTCCTCTCTCCTTCCGTCCTTCCTTCCTCTCTTAGGCCATTTAGGCTGCTATAACAGAACAGGATGGGTACTTTATACGTCCCATCCATTCACTTCATACAGTTCTAGAGGCTGGAACGTGCGATATCAAGGCAGCAACAGATTCGATATCTGGGGAGGGCTCTTCCTCTACTGCAAGGATGTTACCTCCTTGTATCCTCATGCGAACCCCTTGGGGTCTCTTTTACAGGGACATCAGTACCACTCATGACAGTCAAGCCCTCATGGCCTAATCACCTCCCAAGGACCGCACCAAGCAACAGGAGCCAGCATGACAAGTACAGAAAGCAGCAGACGTCTACCCAAATCCAACATGAATTTTGCTTTGCACTTTATCCCGATTAGGGGCAAGACTCTGACAGTGAGCCAGGGGAAAAGATGCAGTGGCTGCATGTGCACAAGGACTCTTGTGTGCAGAAACCATTTAGCCCAAACAATTAGAAACGCGAGACATCACTTAAAATTAAACTTGTCTGACTGGTTTTCAGTGACATGAAGAAATTGTAAATGCAAAATTTCTTTTTGAAAATAAATTTCTTACCTCAGTTTTTATTAGCAAACCACGACTTTTCCTTCCCTTTCTTTGCAACTTATGCTTTGTTTTTTCCACCTTTCTTTTAACATATTTTTCTTTCTCAAGTACATCACTGAGTGTCTGGAAGACATTCAGATATTAAGTTATGCAACATTTATACTTCAATTTTGCCAGATAAGACCAAACTATAAGTGACTATTTTAATAATGATGTTTATTTTGGTAAATAAAGGGAAAGAACCAGTTACACACGACTAACAGAAACATTTCACAATATCTAAACTCCCAGTGTTGTATTTGCATTACTTGAGAAAAGCAAAATAAAATCACTTTAAGTTGAGGAACAAGTAAACCCTCAAATTTACAAAGAAATTAAACATTTTCATTAAGATATCTAAAATACTTCAACCAAACTTAAAGCTATAAATTGCCAGCAATCATTAACACAAATTGTGTAGAAGTTTATTTTTTCCCAGAGTTTAAGTTACTAGTTCTTATAATTTATTAACTATTATAGGGTGATAAACTAAAAAATGATTACTAAACTGCAAGAAAGTATAAAATCATGGCTATTATAAAATAAGGGGAAACAGAAGTCATTAATCTTTTCTAGATTAATTATTATATTCAGAAACTTCCATGATGATTTTGAAGTAAATAATAAATTTCCATCATTGATGTAAGGAGGAACCATTATTACAATCATTTATCCTGCTGCATGATACTACTGCTTATATATTTGTTAGCTGACCATGAGGACAGCATTTAGAAGGCTTAAGTGGAGAAGCACTCAGAAGTTATTATATCTATACTTTGTGACCTGGTTAGGCTCAAGTCTTTTCTAATTTATCATGCAAGTAGACTTCCTTTTATCTATTTTTGAGGTGGTTTTGAAGATCCAAATCAACATTTATAAAAGCAATACAATCTTTCTAAAATAAAGACATTTAAACAGTTATTAATGATCAAGAGTGCGAAGCTACATTATCATTTGCAAAGAAAAACTCGTGCTGCCAAAGTGGTCCAAATAAATTTATGTGTGTACTTCTGTCAAGAAATGTATAACTCTTACCACGCCTTCCACTTCTCCAAAAGACTAATGAGAGGGTGTGTACATATTTTTTCTACTAATTTTTTTCTTTGGGAAGGTCTAGTAATATCAGTTACTGTCAGAAACCTGTAGTTTTGAAAGTATTTAGTTTCCTTTCTTTTTCACCACAGCCATTCTTAATTTCTACATGCATCAAGCATTTACCATGACAATGTCAGGATGCCTTATATTTTATGTTTGAGTAAACATAATTTTATCACTCTATTTAGAAGTGGTGAAGATTTTAAATTAAATTTACCACTGTGGGCAATCACAAAAGGTCAATCACTGCTCACTTATTTGAAAACTTTTCTTTTAAGTTCACTGTAAAGAGCATGGGCTTCAAGTAGGTAAGGAAAGAGAGTGTCTTGGTAGATCAATGTTATAATCTTGAAAGAGTTGCTTTGCCCATGATTTTTCTATGTGAAGTCATGATATTCCAAATAATAATAGAAATCCACATATCTTATTTAGTGACCTAAGTGTTCCTACAAATGAGTTTCTGCTTTAATAATAAATGCTTACATCAGCCTGTTCTTGATGCAGAGCTCTGATTCTTACAGCATCATCTTCTAGTTGCTGTAGAGGCTCCAATATTTCTGCCAGTGCAAGGGCATATATTGCTTTCTTTTGCAAAATGTTCTCCCTCTCAAGTAATTGGGCTTCTTGAATGGAATACAGCCTTTTCTGTAAGCAGAGATTTACAATACTTAATTCAGGCATTATTTACCTATCCAATGATTAAGCTCCTACCCTGTGCTAAGCATTCGTCTTTCCTGTCATTAAAAAAATAAAACAATGGAATCCACCATAAAAAAGCAAAGGGCACAAATGCATATTTAAAGGTTATACAGCAGTATGAGAAGAAACAAGAGGAAAAAAATGGGTTGATAATAAAAATCACACATTCTTAAGCAAATGTTGGAAGACAACAAATTAGAGAACACATTGACAACACATTTTGGAACATATGTAACTGCTGCGATCTAAAAGCTATAGTAAGAACAATGAGCAGGAAGTTAATAATAAAATTAAGGCAAAAAAGTGGATGAAAGATTATGGGATTATTGGGCCATATGGATAAATTGAGATGGGAAATTTATCATGTTCAAGTTTCATATAGAGAAGTCTCTGGTTTATATATGGAGCTGAAGGTGAAACTTCTAGTTTCTATATGCTTGAGAATGACAAACTTCCTACCAGAAGAAATCATAACATTTGTTTTTGCTTCAAAAGGACCAAATGTATAGAACACCTCACATAATACCAATTTTTGGACTGTTTTCTTTCTAATTTCTCACCGTCACCATCATTATCATTATTGCTTTACAAATGCCTGTGTTTCTCAAGAGGAAACATTCTAGAAACATACCATGAATCACAAAACTCAACCTCACTTCCAAAAGATATGCAGGTGGTGGATAAAAATTAAAACTTAATGTCAGTTTTTCTACTTACTATGCTTTTATTTCTAAATCTTTGCACAAACCATTATTAGCATGTTTTTTTCTCTCAGGGTTAACTAAGGAGATTCAAGTGAGAGACACTAAAAGTAAAGAAAACATGACATCATCAGAAAGCAGAGTACAGAGTTAGACACTTAGGAGTAAGATTCCACTGCCCTTTTACTAGCCTGGCAGAAATTCCCATTAAGCCACGAAATGAGATATGTGTACGGGAGGTCAGTTTCTTCATGCATGATCAGACACTGCTGGTTGTACACACAGGGCAACTGTTGTCAGCTGAGGAGAGAAAACTGCTGGCTTGCGAACCAAGCAGGGACAAAATGCCTCATCACAAGCACATTTAAAATGTGAAGGAAAATGCAAATCAAGGAAGAATCAAATCTTGAAACCAAATCAGTATTACCTGAATCATCGTGCCAGCAGCCACACGACCTCGAGTGAGTCTTTTCAGGAAATCTTCTCTCACCTGTACTGTGTGAAAATTCTTAAGTGAGGGTTTTGTTCACAGAGTATCAAATATATCACCATGGTATTTGGTAGTGCAAGATACATTTTGTTATGCTTGTAGAGTACAATAGTTATTATAGCTAGTATATTATTCAATTTTTAAAAACCTTCTGTGTTATTTCAGGCAAAAGAATTAAGTGATAGGATACGAGCATATAGACGAGAGAAGTTTGGTTTACTTAGTTTATACCTCGTGGTCCTGAACACATGCAAACAAACAAACAAACACCAAATAATCAGAAAGTAAATCTGTTTATTCGTCATTTCTTTAAAAAAAAATCTATGAGATTGCTTTTGCATTACTTTCCAGAATGAGCAAATTCAACTTTAAAGACAAGCAAAGTACATTTCAGGTATGAAGTTTGTTAAATGTGGTTGACTAGCGCAATCCCTTTAAAAAATTATGCTGTAAAAGTAGATAAAAATAAAGAACAAGAACTGGCAAAATATTTTCTCTGTTGCTAATTTTGCTTGAAGTTATCACACAAACACAGAATTTAGAAGCAGCTAGAAACGTTTCTTCTGGTTCTGGATTACATCTTGAGACCCCCTTCTGTGAGAGAGGAATTGGCCAGGATTTAGGGTGCTCTGTGGATTCAAAAGAGGCATGCAGCTTTGCAAAGCAGAAAATTGAAGGTCCAGAGATGGCTCTAATTACTGAATTTATGATCCTGTCTCAGGGTATATAGAGAGAATATAAAGAAGCAAGAATCCCTCTCCTAGCCTTTCCTCTACTCAGTATAGCAATCTTAAACATTATGCTTTCCTAAATAAAAAGAATTCCAAACAAAAAAACATAAGGACAGTTTGTGAAATGATAACTTTATAACATAGTTCTACCTGAGAGTATGGCTACATCTAAAACCAAGGTAATAGTAACATTTTTATAATTTTAAAGAAATTAGTATCCTCTTCTAGCACACCAGAGCTTTATCAATTTATTAAATATTTAGTAGAAAGAAAGAAATTTTAAAATGTCTCAATAGACTGAAGAAAAATATATTATATTACAAAATACACGGCTTCACATTTAACCTGTGTTGGAAACTAATTAAAAGTAGTGTGTGTGTGTGTGTGTGTGTGTGCGTGTGTGTGTGCGCGTGTGCTTGATGAGTTGGTGAGTGGAGCTGAAGATGTGAACAACTATTGGGCCATGCAATGTCTTTTCTTCTTAAAAATATAGTGAAGGGCAAAGTATGTGTTTTACAGCAATCACTTCAGCTAAAAATATAGATTGGTTAGTTTATGCTTCCTTAAAATACATTCATTGAATTTTAAAAATTGTTAGCTCATGGAAGAGTAACTTATTGTTTAAATGAATTTGTTTCTTAAATTAGATAAAGTTATACAAGAAGAAATTGTGATTGTAAGGGTAAAATCAATTTTAGATAGCATATAAGGAATTATAATAAAATGAAAGAAGTCTAAAAAAAACCCTATTTCTTTGGATGAAAGAACAATACATTTGAAATCTGTGTCTCTACACAAAACCAATTCAACCTATTAGCAATGGACAAAGCTGTGTGCTCCCTAGAAAACCAGCAACTCACAGAACTGGAAAAACCCAACCTCTCTGCCACGCCCCCAGTCTCTATGACCAAGAGTGTGGTCCAAAGACAACCCCTCCTTCTGACTAGGCAGCTCATTTCACCCCTGCACCAGTGCCAGAGCCGTGGCAGTGTTTCCAGGCAGAGGTTCACGGCTTTCCTGAGATTCTGTCCTCCTTACCAAATGGATTGGTCCACCTGGGCCCTGGCAAAATCTTGTGAAGCTGGACGGTTCCTAGGTGAGCTTCTGAATTACTAATAGCTTCAGGATATGTTAGAGTGCACCAAAGATGGGAACGAGCGCAGCTCTGAGGGTCAAAGATCTTAGGCCACAGGGTGCTCCGTGTGAGTGAGCTCTCTTCCCACCCCATTGTCCCAGTTGTGTCCCTGGAAAGCTGTCCCTGTAGTGCAGTTTGGTATGCAGAATGCTAAACCAGGAGCACAGTTATTGCCAACTCCTGTGCACAGGAGAGGAACAAAGAGGGGTTGGACAGACAGACAAGCTAAGCTACCATAGGGACTGTAGGGAAATGTCAATCAAACCCACAGGGATCCAGGAAGAAGAAAAGACCTTTAGATTTCCCTCAGGTAGGACATAGCTTCCCTCCCTAGGAAGGTGGATAACCTTCAGCAACATAATTTAAATGACTCCTGCTTGGGAATCTGGGCAGTTATGTCCACCAAGTAATACAAACACCAACGACAAAATGCCTTTGGTGTAACTAATAGTGACAGCCAAACTATACGACATGCCTACTGCATGCAATTACCTTGCTTTCATTTCATCATGAAATCCATCCCCTTTTCCTTATGGTAAAGTGAGACACTCTACAAAAATTGCCCAGGCACACAAAGCTGGTATGTTCCTTCCCCAGGCCTCTGGCTCAAACAGGATGCCAATTCCCACAATCAGACTGAGACCCTAGGAACTGTATGGTGTTGGTTTGGCATCTCAGTGGCACCTAGATTCTTAACACCCTTCAAAATGACAGGGATATTTAGTATAGAGATGGGGTGGCGAACCTATGGCATGTGTGTGGCAGCAGGCTTTTTGCTATCATGGAAAGCTCTAAAAGGTTTGCCATCCCTGATATGGAGCCTTCTGACTCTCCTTTGACCCCTCCTGACAGGGCCAGCCTTGCCATGAGGCTTTCCAAACAAGTAAGATGCCTCTTTGAATTCTGTAGCTCAGCTGCCTATATTAGAGATTGAAGACCAGTTCCAAGACTTTGAGTGAAAGAGGTGCCAATCTGCTAAGGATACTATAGCTGGCTCTGAAATGGAGTCTTCTAGGACAGTTTGAGTTCTACCTAAGGAAGTGCCGCCTTAATTATAAAATATGAATTGGGTAGCTGCTAACATGGATCTGGAATAAATGAGCATAAAGTATGAGGAAACTGAATAACACAAGAATTAGAAGAAGGTCTCTTGGTAAAATACCGATTGCCCCATTGCTGGAAAGATTGAAAGGGAGGAGCTAAAGAATGATAGAGAGTTACAGATTCTTGATTACTACTACAATTAGCATTACTGAGAATTTATAGTACACTGAGCACATTATCAGAGTGCTTTATATATCCAGGGAGATCTCCTTTTGTAGGGCTCCATGTTAATGGAAACCTGTGTACATTGGGACCATCCAAAATAAGGGTGAGCTTAGATGGGTGAAGAATTTAGTTCACATGATGCTATAAAAAGGTAGGGCTGCTTCTGTGCACCTGTGTGTGTGTGCACACGTGTGTGTTAGCACATGCATGTGTGTATAAGGTAAACATCACATCCATTTAGTGAAATAGCTATTTTGTTCATCATCTCCCATCACTGTGACAATAACCTAGGATAAACTTACAAAAAGACAGGAGTTTCCTTCGGGCCCTGCTTTCAGAGGTTCCAGTCCACAATCAGTTTCCCCCTTGCTTTCAGACCTATGAGGCAGTGCATTATGGCAAGAGCATGTAGTGGAAGAAGTTGCTCATCTCATGGCCAGAAAACCCAGGAAAGGAGGAAGAGAGCAGAGTCGCACAGCACCCTTCAAGGCCACCTTCCCGAGGACCTCAGGCTATCAGCTCCCCCTGGTGAAAGTTTCTACCACCTCCAAATGGCACTATTCTGGGGACACACAGGCCTTTGGGGCGCACTGAAAATTCAAACTATAGCATCTAGTATTAATCCACTTGCAAAGAGGAGAAACTGAGGTCATAGCACTTTTGCGTAAGCAGAGGGACTGCCTGATACTGTAGCTTTGTGCATTCTGTAGCACTTTACTGTAAGCCCCTTCCTCTCTTTCCTCAGCTGCTAGTGCTGAGTTCAGTTGATGAATGGTTGATTTCTTGTTTTGTTTTTGGTACCGGGGATCGAACTCTGGATCTCATACTTGCCAGGCAGTCGCTGTGCCTCTGAGCTACATCCTCAGCTCTGAATGGTTAATTTCTTAAACAAATGGGTTTATACTTAACAAAAACAACTTTTGGACTCTAGGATAGGAATTAAATTGAAAGTTTCAGACTATTTCAAACTCAAAAATATGATTTACTTTTAAAAATCTCCTGTCTCGACAAACTCGAGACCCAGTAAAATGCGATAGCTGCACAGATGCTAGTTTGTAAACAGTATCTTGGGAATGAGTGATTAAAAAAAAATGGCCTCCAAAATGTTTTTCCCAGGATTTAGGGAAGTGGGAGAGATGCAGCAAAGGGAGAGGCTGATTCCGGTAGGAGTTTGTGCAAACATAGAGTAAGCACCTGTACTGGGACTAAACAAGGACTGCCTTGCCCAGGATGTGGTCTGAGATCCAACATGGCCCAGCCCTTTGAGTTCTTTAAATTGCAAATTCATTGTAAAGAGAATGAAATCACTGAAATATTGTCATGTCACACATGTCCCGATAGTTGATTATAATACGAATAATAAATAGATGCTAAGTCCGTTGAGTGAATCTTTGTTGGGGAAAAGTTGAATATTCTTAAACTAGTCAACTGATAATTTATCACTTACAATGCAGAAATGAATACATCTGTTACCTTAACAGTGTGGTCAAAATTAATATCACTAATAAAAGAAAAATGTATACCATGACCTCTTAATAGGTTTCATCAACACAATATTAAAACTGGGTATTATTATTTCCCAAAGATAAAAACATATTGAAAGAAATTTTGTCAAGTAAATGGCCTATGTACTTTTTAAAAAAGTCAGTACAATGGAAGATGAATAGCTTAAACCTAGAAGGTACTCTATGATTCAAGGAGATTCAAAAATAATAACAAATAAACTCAAAGCACGGGGTTTAAGTATATATACCAATCAACTGAAATACAGAAATTTGCATGTGCCTATTGACTAATTATCATCCTTTATCTCCAACTCCACTGTTTAACTCTGATGTGAGATGTGGGGTTGGGTCCTGTGGACA